AATAGTGACCTAATGATGATTATGGGCTTCATGTTCTAAAGGCTTCAGAATGGTTTCTTATAAGATTAGTGAATGCATGGTCAAGTACAAATTTTGTCAAGGCAATTTCAAACGCAAAATTCATCCTTCTTGACAATTTGCTTATTATAATTAATTGATGGGGCCAAACACTATATAAATAGAGTAGCTTGGCCAAAGAAAAAAGTGCAAGAGTGCAAGTGAGGTGCAAAGAGCCAAAAACAAAGAGTCAAGTTTCTATAGAGTTAGATGAGAGAAAAAACCTTTGCATAGGCTAAAAATACTCCGTCTTTCTTTGTATTCTTCTTTATTTCGTGATATAGTGAACAAATAAATAAATTGTGTTGTTCTATAGACGAAAGCACAATTGCAAAACCATGTTAAATCCTAGTATCTTGCACATGATCTTAATTTTGTATCTTTTGCTTCTTCACAATTTAGATAATTTATTTCGCATCCCACTAATTGTCACAGAATTAGTAAAGATCTAATTCCTAATGATTGGCATTATAGCAACACAACAAAGGTGTGTCACTACACCGAAATACAATTCAATTTTTTTTTTTAACCAACCTTGTGTTTGAGTGGGTGCAATCACGACAAAGGAGAAGATATCCAAAATCAATAAATTTTACAGTACAAATTGATCCTGGAGAATGTATCTGGAGGACTACCCAAGCCAAAAGATATGTATAAACCACTTGGTGAAAAGCCAAAGAAGATAACAAACGGTGAGTTGGAGTTGCATGATCGGAAGACTTTTGAGACTATAAGACAGATATTGTTGAAGTCAATTCTTCGACATAAAAAAGGAGGAGACAACAATGTCTCTCATGACAACCTTGTCCAATCTGTATGAATAGCCATCCACCAAACAAAGTTTCTTTAATCAAATAGTTGTTTAGTTTAAAGATGACTGAAGGTAGAAGAATTGGATAACACGTTGAAGTGACGAACTAGCTACATGGTCAAAATCATTTTCTTGATGAGGTTTGAGATTTATTAATCCTTGGGTAGTTGCCTTCGAATGGCACAATTGCAGCAACTAGTAGCTCTATTGAAAAGTCCAAGTTTTAGTTTGATGATGTCGTAAGCATGATCTTGACTAAGGCTATTTGAAGACAATAAGATGTTTCTACTTTTGAGAGCCGCTTTGAACATGGAAAGATACAGACATCAAACATAGGTAACCAACGTGGCACGGGCAAGTCAGGAAGAACCAAAAGATTTTCACCAAATCCAAGATTGTCAAGAGTTGGAATTATGGTAAGACAGGACAATAAAAAATAAGTGTAAAGAAATTGTGAAAGAAAAGGTGAACAAAACTGAGGTTCGAGGATAATGTTGTGGCAGATAGGGGGGCAAAACCCAACCCAAACTGCTCAACCCGACAAACCCAAACCAAAACAATCGGTTTGGGTCGATTTTTAAGTTCAATTGGGTTGGAAAATTCAATTTGAGGTTGAATTGTGTTGGGTCTCGGGTTATGATTAAAACCTAACCCAACCCGATGAAATAAAAAATCGATATCTAAGATGGAAAAAAAAATTAAATAGACACAATAGTAAAGATAAGAAAATGACTTATAATTTATGTTTTTTTCACATAGACCAATTCACATGAACACTATGTAAAAATGCAATGTTATTTGACAATAAAGTAAAAATTAAAAACATGATGAATTGATGATGAAATGAATGAATTCCAAAAAAATTGTAATAAAAAAAAATGCTTCATAAATTTTAAACTTACTGATAAATTACTTTTAGAAAGAATTTCTTATATATGTGTTTAAAAAACGGAGGTTTTCAAGTAATTTCAAACTCTAAAAAATTATCCAAATTTAAGCAATAAACTGGATCAAACTTTAATTGGGTCGAAGCCCAAACCGATCAACCCAACTTGATTGGGTTGGATTGGGTTTAAATCAATAATTGGGTTAGGTTGGATTGATTTTTGATCTAATAGATCATGTTGGATTGGGTTTGGGTTAAAAAAAAACAACCCAATCCACGCTCACCCCTAGTGGCAAACTATGATGCTCAAACTCGAGCACGTATCTACGTGTCGAATCTTTTATTTTGTCAACCTTATTAATCTATCAACACTACTGATGTGGCTATTTTGTCAACCTAATTAACTTAAGAACATTAGTAGCAATGGAAACAATAACTCATGCAAGGTAAAATCTTAGGTAATAAATTCTTGAACATCTTTTCATGCTACCTCGACTAAAGGACTCTATGAATTATACCAGGTAATTTTGGAAAGGTCTCTCAGAAATGATCGGTCTTGTCACATAGTGGATAAAAGTGAAGTATAGATCAAGATCATTGGATCTGTATGAAAATTGAAGGATGTAAGACTCGGGTAGCTGTTAAATGAAGGTTATTTCACAACCTTCAATGGTGATAACCAGAAGGTTTCTAACGGTGCAATAACCATTGCATGTGGCAATAAATCTGTTAATAAACTTGCCAAACGTATGCTTAAACAAACGCATTCTAAGGGGAAACTATTGGGGCTTCAATCAATTCATGTAGACGTACGCAAGTGTTGCATCTTTGGAAAGCATAAGAAGATGAGTTTCAAGAAATGTGGAAGAATGTGGAAGCAAGAGAAGCTTGAGTTAGTTCACACAAATGTCTAAGACCACATCAATTTCATCCATTGGCGGTAAGTCTTATTTTGTGACTTTCATCAATGATCCTTAGTGTTTAAGGTATTGAAATGGTGGAGAATGAAACTGGAGTGCAAGTGAAAAAGTTGAGATCTAAAAATGGTGGAGAGTACTAAAATATGGGATTCAAGAAGTTTTGTTACCAAATTGGCATCAAAACAAAGAAGAACTTTGCTAGGAACACAAGATATTCGCAACAAAATGGAATGACAAAAAATATGAACTGGACATTAACTGAAAGAACTCAAAACATGCAGTTACATGCAGGTTTGACTAAATGGTTCTTAGCAGAGGCCATCAACACAACATTGTACCTAGGGCCCGTCTTTTGCTTTTGCTTTCTGTAGAAGAGTTTTTAAAGGAATCTACATTAAGTCCACGTTTGAGACCTATTTATTTGAAAAATGTGTTATCGAATAATGATTTTTTGAAGAATGTGGTTAAACATAGAAAAGTTTTGGATTTACGTGAAATTATTTTATGAGAATATGTGGTTGAGAATGAATTTTGAGAAAATGAGTTTTGGAAAAAATGAAGCTCAAACAGGGGCTAATTTTTGTTTGAAAACTAATTTTTAAAAGAGCTTCCTACTTCTAAAATCTTTTCGATGAAGTTACAATTGATCAGTTTCCTCTAAAAGCATTTCTAACTAGAAGAATCATTTTCATAAATTGTCAAACGGGTACAAAAGCAGTTGAGTCACACAAGCTCTATTAGAATTTTCAAAAGACATGCCAAACAAGCTAGTAATTAACTATGAACCGTCAGTACCCTTGGAGCACTAATGTTAAAGCAAGTATGGAGGGGAGAAAAAGTAAAAAAATTCATTTGAAAGTTTTCAATTGTATTGCATATGGGCATATTAGTCATTAAGCTAGGGGAAAGTTTGATTCCAAGTCGCTAAAGTGCACTTTCATTGGATATGATGGAGATTAGTTCAGAAACTGCTTCTAGAATGATCGCAACAAAATAATGATTAGAAGTCGGGATGTCATATTCAAGACAGAAACACATTCCAATTTAGTGGCAATGCACACAATGATTTAACATATGTCGGATGATACTCCAAAAAGCAATATGCTACAACAAACAAATGATAGTTCCTAGCAAGAGAAATCTCTCCTAGAGACTACTGCACCAAAGTCTCCAGCTCCAATCCCTGTCTTCTCAACTTTATGTTTTCTAGTATAGGTACATAAATTATTTATTACTCATTAATGCTGTTAAACCTCAATGTTATGACAAGGCATGTGAGGTGGAGGATGTGATCAAGTGGGAGCTTCCAAAGAAAATGAGATAAATTCCCCTATCTCTAACTAAACTTGAGAGCTAGCTAAGTTACCTACAGGAAAGAAAGCTCTACAACAATAAATAGGTACACCAACATGATGGTTCAAAGAGATATAAGGCGAGATTGATAGTTCCAACAGAAAGAAAGGATTGAGTATACGAAGATTTATTTGCCGGTGAAGATAGGCAAAAGTTCAGTCAGTCTTAAATAATGTTGTAACAGAGAGCTTGTACTTGAGTGTTTAGATAGAAAAATTGCTTTCCTCCACAGTGACTTAAAGGAGATATACATACAGTAACCAGAAGGCTTCTAAGTCAAAGGGAATGAGAAGCTTGTATGCAAATTGAATAAATGTATTTGTACCGCTTGAAACGAGCCCCAAGATAGTGGTAAAAGAAGTTTTATGAATTTATAAAGAAAAATGGCAACAAAAAGTGCAATAATAACTATTGTTGCTACTTCATAAGGTTTGAATCCAGTTATGTTATTCTACTACTTTACGTCGATGACATGTTAATAGCAGATTCACATATGGATGAAATCAAAAAGTTAAAGAAGCACCTTTCACCAAAATTAGAAATAAAGGACTTGGATGCATTAACACAAATTCTTGGGATGAGAATTGAGAACAACTAAAAGGTTATTTTGAAGCTATCTCAAGCAAAGTACACTAGTGGAATTCTACATAGGTTCAAACTGAACGATGCAAAGACACCATTGGTTAACCATTTCAATCCATCCTTTTGAAAGCACACTTTCTGGGAATAATCTACAGAAACTTAAGGGCAAGTTTGGAACTCCTTCTTGGACATGAGATCCACAACTTTTATTAACTTTTCGACAATATATTTCATCGACTTTAACAAAATCTACTAAAAATCTAATTTTTAGAAAAATCAAATGGGGGCATAATGAATTTTTCCAAAGAAGTCATACGTGTACAAAAGTAAGGTCAAGAGGCATTTTGTCCTTTGAATATCAAAATACGTACAAAAATGGTAGTTTACTTACTTGAACTGTTGAGAGCCTTGATGAGGCAGAATACCTTGAGCATCCTCTTCCTTAGATATTTCTGCCGGGCTAGTCCGCCAGTTTCTAGCAGCGTTTAGGAATACTCGACCGATTCTCACAAACGGGCTTCTTCCTTCGCTCTGTGAGCGAAATCGGTAGGTTGTAGTTCCAAGCAAAAATATTATCAGGGCAAGGCACATGACAATGCACGGGATTCCAAAGCCAAGACTCCAACTTAGGTTGTCTTGAATGTAGTTCAAAACATAGAGAGAAACTATAACTCCTATATTCATGAAACAACTCCACCAATTGAAGAAGGAGCTTTTGTCTTTACATTCTTTTGGGTTTTGTTCATCAAACTGGTCAGCTCCAAAAGCTTGAAGACAAGGTTTATGCCCACCTTGTGCTAGTGCAAATAAATACAATGAGAAGAAGAAGCAAATAACTTGAAACTGTGGCGGAGAAGATGCTTTGTTATTTTCTACAGTATTTAGGTAATCGGAATATGAATAAGCAGCGGCAGATATGGACATAACACCAAGTGCCTGAGATCATAACAATAGAAAGAACATGTTTAGCATCTCCCAGAAGAATAGCATTTAGAATGTTATGTATAAAAAAGTACTTCGTGTTATTAAAATGAGAGAGAGACTACTCAAAATCAATCCCAAAATCAAAGTCCTTGGCTCCATTCATATTGAGGACAATATAGAATACAAATGAATTCCTAGAAATTTTTTGTGGGGAGAAAATTGCCATTTTCTCTATCCCCTTTTGTGATTATTCATAATTTTTCAAAATGATTCAGCAAAACTTCCATTTTGAATGAGCACTGGAACCCATAATGTATCCCAAGTTTATCTTAACATTCAAAAAAACCCATCAACTAACAGATCAAATGTCACAAGTTCAACCAAGTAACTGCATTTACGTCATGGCAAAACATGCAAAATAGTACCAGTTTAAAAGTTTTCAAACTTGATAGTTAAAAAAATTAATATGCAAAATGTTGAGCCAAACGACTGCCAATTCAATCAAAAAAAGTTCGAACATATAATGTGATAACCTTCACAGACAAGTTTCAATCATTTTACTCACAAAATCTGATAAATCTATAAAAGTACGAACTGCGAAGTGGACATCTGCTGAAGAAGTGCATATTTATGTTTTAATTGACAAGATCACAACTATGAATTATCACATCTTTTGATGCGACAGAACCTGGCATAATCACTCCTGAAAGCTTTTGTAGCTTGACATACAATTCCACTGATTATCTTGTATAAGTATATCTATCATTACAAGTAATTTAAAAGCTGGAAATAGAAATCACATATTAGGCGAATAATTATGCAATTTTTCACGTAAAAAGTTTTGAACTGACCAGGATATAGAGCCCAGTGGCAATAATAATGGTCAAGTATCGACCAAGAAAGGAGTCAGCCACAAAAGCACCCAAAAGGGGTGTAAGCATGGCCGTTCCAGTCCACACATTCACATTTGCCGCTGCTGTTGCAGTGGATTGGCTTAATGGACCCGTCAAATAGCTTATCAAATTTGAAAGTATTCCATAGTATGCACTTCTCTCAGCAACTTCAACACCTAATAAATAGAACAAAACAATAAATTAACAAAACTATAAGAGTGTGTTTGATTGGCATGAAAAATATCACCTAGAAATGAAAATGTTTTTCCTCTTTTGTAGAAAATAAAAACCACCCCCATCCAAGAAAAATATTTTCCTTAAAAACAAGGAAAATTAAGCATATTTTCAAAGGTTTGGAAAATATTTTTCATGGAAAAAAGTAAGAATCAAACACCCCAAATAAGATATTTTTCATTAAGAATCAAACACCCCAAATAAGATATTTTTCATGGAAAATAAATGTAATCAAACACACCCTAATTGAATCTCAAGTTGCTAAGCAATTAATTTGTGCGATTATAATCACTTAGACACTCTAATTGATTATTACAAAATCCTATTTTGCTATGTGAAATTCGGCTAGGATGAGGCATATACAAATTACAATTCGTACCTATGATGAAGAAAGCTGACTTCCAACACCCGGATCCGGATCGGGTAACAGGGTGACCTTTGAAGTCGACAGAACCACGGACGACATCTTTTAAGAGTGGAGCTTCAGTATCCAAAAGGTTGGTTCCTGCAGCTGAAGACACCGGGTTAGCCATATCTAAGCTCAACAATCACCCCCACAAAAATTGCAATAGGTAAAACAGGGCATTATTCTGGTTTTATGCTTGCTCTCAAAGCATCTGAAGTCGTTTGTTGTTAACCACCTCACAAAAATTGACACGTGATGTGATTGTTCGTCCACTAGAGCTGACTTCAACTTGCACATCATGCAAACATTATTAAAGATATTGGAAATTAGACAAATTATCCATTTTTCAATACCCAAATTCCTCTTGAGCATTTGTATAAGCAGTATTATTTGCATGGGCCCCATCAATGGAGTATTATATGGGCGCTGCTCGCCCCGTCCAAACAGGGGGCTTGTCCAAGTAGCAGCGCCCTTAATTTTCCTAAAGTTTAAAATATCCTCGCATAGTGGAGCTATAAAATACGGAGCCGGGGGCGCCAGCAGACACCCGGCCACAGGGGGCGCCACATCGCCCCCTGTTTGGACAGGGCGTTGTCCAAGAAGAAAAACCCGAAAATTAAAGCTTGAGATCTGACCTTTTCAGAATGTAGCAAATAAGTTTCCAATTCCATCCTAATGATTTTGAGTAATGCCTGACCCAGCCATCCACCATTCAGATTTTTCTCTATCACCGTCACTTCCTCAGCAAATTCTGGAAGCAGTTGATGTTGTACTTTCAATAAATTTCACCACCCGCGACCGCATATTTTGGATTCCTGATTGTGGGGCCAAAATGGATAGCCAATGGAAAGGCATTGCCACAATTATGTTGGGAATCTACTTATGTATTGCACAGCGAAAAATAAAATTATTTCGATTTTCATCGAGGATCTTTTTGTGTTTAGATAAAAATCGTGATAAAGATTGTACTTTTGACGAATTCTGCAAACCTTTTGCTTTCTTTTCGTTCCAGCAATCTTGATTCGCCACCCACAACTGTCCAATTGTCCAGCCTTTAACGGTGATCCACACAGAGAATAAGATTGCAGCTACCAGGGTTTTCCTCTTGTGCCAGCAAGAATAATGAAAACGATATGGACCTCAAACCCTAGCCATGTATTTATATAAATCCAAACGGGCTTGGCCCGATTCGGTCCAATATTTAATTAATCCAAGTAATTAAACTCGGTCCGTGAATTAATTAATCAAATTAATTAATTTGGGAATATAAATAACAAATCCAATTAATTAATTTATCCAACGATTGTTAAATTAACCAATTGACAATTTGCAATCTTCCAATTCTCTTTTGTGTGCGACCTATTAGGTTCCCGATCACGATATCTAACGACGTGAAATATTATTTTGATCTAATCAAAACTGATAAATTAAAACACCCTTTAATTTATCGTCATTTCACACTCGCCGTCCCTGATTGAGATCTAGCAATGTGTCAGGGCAATACATGTGACGGGAAATGTCACGTGATATGACAAAACCAAAATCATTCGTTTACCGTGAAACTATAATCTTTTTGTCAATATGATCCGACCAATTATGATATATGGAATTGTGTCAATCCCGAATTTCGATCATATCTTTCACTCCACTATTAAGTCAATATAAGTCGAAAACTCCTTTTCGACTTATGAGTACGCCTTGGCCAAGGATTTCGTTATCGACTTAATTGAATAAAATGCAGATCATAATCTCCTACTATCTAAGAGTGACGAATCCTTTATTGGTCAATCACAACCTTCATACGATTCTTGACGTACCCGAACGATGTCGTATTAGCGGCCCTTTGCAGAGCAACATCCAACACCGCTAAAGTATGACTGTCCTCATATAAGGTACCATGACGACCTCAAGTTTAAGGACCAATTCCATTACCGAACGTTAGAGATTAACCACTGACACTCAGATAGTTATTCATGTGGAATCTCTCGGCAGGTCTCCAATGTTTTGTTCTATAACAAAACATCTATGTGTCATTTAAGTATCACCACACTTTAGCTTGTGAGATCAGCTACTTACTTCACAAGTAAGAAATGTCACACGTGATGGTCTATCCGTAATACCGATATCCGCATCTCGTTATCACTTACGACCACGGATGATTTAAGATTCAATCAGACGTAATTTGTATCTCACAATCACAACTCCTTGTGATTAACAAATTACGAAGATTTGAATCTACGGACTCTATTATTTATTTAATTGTCTATTAATTAAATAATAGATCTGCCATTTAATTGCATTAATTATATATAAAAGTATTTATGTCCAAAGTTAATTGGACTTAGGGCATAATACTTACAAACTCCCACTTGCACTAGATCCAATCACTTATGTATCCAATATCATAAGTCTACATAAAGATCATGTTTATGCTACGACAACTCTTTGTCAGTGGATCTGCAATATTATTAAATGTGGGAATTTGTTCTTCTCTTTACGTCATTTCTATGCATTATCTCTCTGATGAGATTATACCGTCTTAATACATGTTTGGATCATTGATGAGACCTTAGTTCCTTTGCTTTCACAATGGCTATATTGTTATCACAATACAATGGTATGTGATCAACAATATCAGGAACTACTCCAAGTTCATTTTGAACATCATGGTCCATATTACAACTTTTTGCTACTTCTGAAGTAACCATGTATTAGGTTTCTACTATTGAATCAACGGTTGCTTCACGTTTGGAACCTTTCCAACATACCGCTTAAGAGTAAACCAGTTTCTCCTTATAAAATCTTCTCAAGATTTCATCTATGTAAATTAGGATGAGTTAAGCAATCTTCTAGATCTACCTCTATAGATCAAGTTGCTTATCCCATATCGTTTATGAATAAATCCTTTAGCAACCATTATTTCAACGATTGAAACATAGGGATATCGTTTTCTATAATATTAGGAATACGACAATACTCTCACTATCTTCTTGTAAACACACAATTCGTGTTCAAATTTGATAAAATCAAACACTTTGACTTTTTTCATCAAATCGAAGATTTTAGCTTCATAGAGACTTATCTTAACCTTTAGTTACGATATGCAACTGTTGCAAATAAAACCCGAATGGACTTCATCAAGGCCACAGGAGAAAAGTTTCACCAAAGTCAACACTTAACCTTTGCTTCTAGCCTTGCTTTGTATATATGGATATTCACATCCACATCGACCCTTCCCTTGTAAACTATTTACAAAACCTTATGGGTTTTATTCCGTCAGGAGGCTCGACCAAGGTCCAAACCTTGTTCACATACGCCGAGTTCATCTCGAGTATCATGGTCTCTTACTGTCTCTTTTAAGTCAACATTTGACTTTATTTTGTTGCAACAAACAGGTTCATTATCCTGGATCACTAATACCTGATTAATGATCATGGATTCGCACCTTCTTGAAGGTTGAATGATCCTACTAAATTCACATAGAGCTGTCATGTCCTTAGGAGTCTTTACTTCCTGATCCAAAGTATGTCTCATATCAGATATGGGATCAAACTCGGATTTATCTAATTGGTTAACTATATATGTAGACTCTTGAACTCTTTCAAGTTCTATTTTGCTCCCACTGTCCTCCCCTAGAGTAAACACTTTCTCTAAGAAGATTATATATTGTGAGACGAAGACTTTCTTCATGATAATAGAATTTATATTCAAATGTCTCCTTTGAATATCCCCACAAATACGTATTTATCAGATTTAGTGTCAAACTTATCTAATTCAAGGCGCTTCAAATAAGCGTCATAGCCCCAAGCTTTCATATAAGATAAATTGGGATTATTGCCTTTCCATAACTCGTATGGAGTTCTATTAACCAATTTAGATGGGACATGATTTAGTGTGTTGCACATTGCAATCAATGCATGACCCCAAAACAATTTTGGGAGATTTGCATGGCTTGTTATTAATCTCATTATTTCTAATAGTTAACAATTCCTCCTTTTAGATACACCACTATGCTGCAGTGTATATAGATGAGTCCACTGCAAGAGAATCTCATTCTTTCTTAGATAATCTAAATATTATGTTTAAGATACTCTTACTTGATCGAATCTTAATGTGAGGGTATTGTTGCGTGTTGTCACACCTGTCATACCCACCCGGGCCAATGGCCCACTCATCCTGATCCACGTGGCATTCCTGCCGAGGTGGCACACATTGCCAAGGTGGGGCTACATCCGAACTACTTCGAGCCAAGGTCCATCCACCGAGGCACCTCGATCCGACGTACTCTGCCGAAGTCCAACTACCAAGCCCCATGAACCAAAAGCATGGAACCTGTTGAATTTAGCTGAGGTCCACGAGTGGAGGTATTTGTCAAATGGTCGAAGCCCCGAAGCTGATGCGCGAGCCTCTTAACCACAAGAAGCTTCCTCCACTATCACTTCTCCCAAGAGATCGCCTGCTCAGAGATCTTATTCGAATGACTGATGGAACGTTTGTCACAAGTATAAAGGTTAAGTCTTTCACTAGTATAAAGGACCTGCGCAAGCAATAAATGCGCCGTAAGCTAGCAAGTCGAGTCCCATACCTAAGAACAGAAGTTTGAACTAAGGAGATGAGGCCACGTGCCACATCATCCAAGGGCTCCCATTTCATATGTATCACTATAAATACTCACATTGTGTAATGTCAAAGGCTAATGCAAGAATCAATACTAGAAACTACATTTACTCAACTCTCTCTCAGTTACTTGCAATGCACAAATCGAGTTTATACACTTTCACATTTACATTTACGAGTACCGGTTGGTAATTATTGTACAATCGGATTACGAACAACCCGTCGGATTCCGAACGTCACCGTCCCGCGTCGTTGGGCTACTCCCACGCCTCTTTGAACTGCTCGTTTTAAACCTTCCACGTGTCTTAGCGTGTTGGACATTCGCCCACGCAAGCGCGGGTGGGACCGGCATCTGTTGGCGCACTTTTTGGGGTCAACAGATTGGCGCCGTCTGTGGGAAACCATACCATAACCATGAGCAACCTTGTGGTAGAAGCTTGCTGAAAAAATATTTGGGCAACCCCCCTTGAAAAAGGATTTGTTCTTGAAAAAGAACAGGAGGAACCCCTATAACTTGGAGAAATCTAAGTTTGATAAAGGAAAAATGAGCTCTAACGAAAATACTCCCTCAAGGAGGGTAAGAGAAAGCACGAATGTGCCTCCCCAGCCTGCTGTCCCAGCAGCTCGGACGAGGCTCCACCACCACCAAAGGAGAGGTGGGATGCGTGAGACAGCACGACTATCAAGAGAAATGGCTATCATGGTAGCCAACATGAGGGATATAGCCAACCAAAACTTGGCCATGAGGGAGCTCATGGCCCAAATGCGAGGCCAGGGAGGCTTCCCCATTCCTCCATATGCCCCCCACGAGCACTATCAGCAAGAGGACGAGGTCCAGAGTCATAGAGTTGCCTCGTCAGACTATGGCCGAGGTGAAAGCCCATTCGAGAGGGAAGTGGGAGTCGACATTTTCTCCAACTATGCATCTGGCCGACCCACCGAGGTCCAAATGAGCCATGATAACTTTCCACCCCCATATGAGCAAGACCCAAGACATAGGAGAGCAGGAAGT